AGTGCAACAACCCTAAGTTATTTAAATATATATATATAACATCAATGATTCTAAGGCTCTTTAAATATGAAGTGGACTGTTTATCTGAAAGTATTCTGGCAAACTGCCACCATATTGCTAAAATTAAAGAAAGGATTGAAAACAATCAGCATTCTGAGGAACTGAAACCACAGCAATATGTTTCTGATTAATTTACAAATATATGTATATATTTAAGGCTAAACTACAGAACCAGAAAATTCCTACTAGATAGTCTAGCACATGCATTTTTACACTTCATTAGACCAGACATCATATTGAAATAATAAACATGGAGGGGCCTTCATTTCTTCTTTGATCTACATTACTAAATGTCTGACTGGCTCAAATTTAAAATAAACTTTGTATGTTTGCACTTGAAAACTGGAAGAAGACCACAAGCAATAATTTGTTATCCGTTTCCATACTCCCTAACTAAAACTATAGTTTAGTCGGTACGCTGTTGGATGCCAGGGCTATGCTAGTCCAGCCACCCCTGCAGTGGCTAAACTTTCTGGTAAGAATACATACACTGTAATATGGTAGCAATGATGATAGATCACTTCATCAGCATGAAACCAGATTGAAATAAATTCAAGGCACAGGTCATAACTTCACATGTTTTCTGAATCATTCTGAAGCTATTGCAGATAAGTGACATTACAGCCTTAAATATGCAGGTATGCACTGGGGAACGGTATCATATAGCTCCGCTTTCCCTGAATATTTAAGGAGCACGTTTTCAGAGTTTTATGGCTAAAATCCTGTCAAATACCTTGCAAATTTAGAGGTAAGATTTTACCCTACAGTATGTTCCATTTAATGTCCATTTTTTTAGCCTGATCAGTATGCTTTTATATATGGCCTGGCTTGAATATTTGATTCCAGTAAATGAGACAATTATTAATTACAGTGTTGGTGGCATGTATGCCTGACTTTGTTGCATCTGTTTTGCAGTAGTTATACTGTGTATTTATTTAACAATTTCACTGGATTATCACATTTCATATGGGATTGGTTTATTTGGCTGTCTAAACGGGCTAAATTCAGAGGAAGGAGCAAGAAAAGGAACTAAGTATTCACTTTTAGAAAAGGTAATGAGTGTGAAATGTTTCAGACTGCTAGGAACGAGGCGGTGGGCGGGCGAGGGGGATTAAAGAGTACTCCACTGTGTTCTCCCTCCCTCTTCCCAAGATATCACTGAGCGACCAACAGCCTTTTGGCTGAAGCCGACTGGACTGGATTCCTTTTCTGAGCCCATTAATGCCACTCCTTAATTGGCTGATTAAAGCTGAATGCAGGCAAAATGGAGGTGAGAAAGGTAAGAAGAGGGAAGTGCTCTGAAGAGCTCACCTTCTCCAAACATCCCTATCTATTGAGTGCATGTGTCATCAGATTGTTACATTGTTCAGCCACCTTGGGCTCCTCTTGGACTTTTCACTGCAATCGAATGTCCAGAAAGCCACGATGGCACAAAACACCCACATTCCACTTTTGCCAGCCAGAAGCTTGCCCTGTCAGATACAGAACTGGCCACAGTAACACATGCATATGTGACCTCTGGGATTGATCATTGCAACTCAGATATCAAGGAATGAAAGCATGTGCCCTGACATAGCTCCAACTAGTACACAACACAGCAACAACATAGGTCACCATGAGCATATCAGTCTCATGCTACTCTCTCTGCTGTGCTGCCCCAGTGAATAGAGAATCCAGTTCAAAATCTCTGTCCTGGTATTCAAAGCCTCCATAGGATTGGCTTTAGCTACATAGGACTGTGTCCCTCCGCCACAGCCATGCTTTTTCACAACACCTCCCTTCCACCAGAGCAATGGCCTAATGGCTAGAGCATTGAAATGGGATTCGGGAGACCTGGGCTCAGTTCTTGGCTCTGTCACTGGCCTGCTGGGTGACCTTAGGCTAGTCACTTTTCTGTTCTGTTCCTCAGTTTCCACATCTGTAAAATGGAGATAATGATGTTTCTCTCCTTTGTAAAGCACTTTGAGACCTATTGATGAAAAGCGCTATATAGGAGCCAAGTATTATTGTCCAGTGGGAGGAGGAGTGAGTGTGTACGGGAGACAGCACTTTCACAGGAGTAGAACTAAGATTATATACAGACTTTGCTTCTCGATAAGGTAAGAATGGCCACTGATCTCACAGTGTTTGGAACTAAATGCAAAGCTCATCTCTTTGATCTAGCTTTCCCACAACAAGTATTCCTCTCTCTTTCTCTCTTACACAGACACCCACACAGACATCTTAATTCTAATCAAGCATTTGCTTCTACCTGCTGGGAAGGAAGAGAGAGATATTATTGTTATGTCTTTTTTCATTACTTGGGAGGTACTCAGATGAGCACCAGCCTATGAACCTGGATAGACAGCCAGATATAGCAAGCTGGAGGGGTCACTGTCGATGCAAACCACAGCTACACTAGCCCTTTTTGTTAAACTTCCCCTAATGCTCTATCACTGTC